GACTCATCTTCTGGTTAATTGTCCAACTTAATTAGTTATATCTGAAAGTTTGCATAACATTTGTAGGTTTTTAGTTGATGTCAGATTGTGTTGGGAGTACATTTTTCTCATGTTACATTCTTTGTAGGCAAGTTAAATTATTATTATTTTTCCTATATTTTTCTCACGTGATTAGTTAACAAGTGAAGGACGCAATCATGTATTTCCAGAATTAACTGATAGAATTTTTATGCCCTTTCGAGGAGCCTTCTATTACCACTAGAATTAAGAAAGTGGAAAAAATGACACAAACTATACAAAATTTCAATATATATATATACATATATTTTTTAGTACCTTTATTAAAAAATGACATAAATTTTACAAATTTCAACATGATACATATAAATTACAATTATGTTTTGATCTTAACATTAGGCACATGTAGACACTAATATATAGATATAGCTCACTCTCTTCTCTTTCCTCATTTCAATACACAGCTACACTACAGCATCAGCAAATGGCTCTGTTTCTCTCTCTATGCTCTGTTTTGTTCATCTTCTCTCTCTACAGCATCTATGCCTCCGTAGCTCTTCCTCCTCTTCAACCACATCTTGATGGTAAGCACTGCCTCACTCCCTTTTACTTGCTTTATATACATCTCACATTACATCTCTGTTTCTCTTTTTGGAAGAAATTGCTTGAATGTGATGTGGTTTAGTTCTAATTTGGTTTGTAAATCAACAAAGTTTTTTACTTTTTAGAGTAACTCTAACACTGCATTTCACTTAACAGAAGTATATATTAAATAATTTTACTTTTTAATTTTATCTCACAACTTTACCTAATATGTGTACTCCAACAATAATTGCTACACATGAAATTAGTTTGCCTAGCTTTTAGAACTCTCTAAATGTAGTTATTCAAAAGGTGTGAGGAAAAATGTAGATCCATCCTTGGTGAGTTTGGGACTAGCAAAAAAAAAAAATAGAGTTTTTCCTTTTAGCATTTTTTTTAAAAAAAAAAATTTGTATAGAAAAAATTTACTTTTCAAGTCAATCTACTAGATCTAAAAAAAAAAACAAACAAAACAAAACAAAAAATTGAAAAAAATCTTCTAAAAGGTTCATTAAAAATAAAAGTCTTTCGTTTTTTTTTTCTGTCTTAGTTGAATATAAAAATGTAATATTTTCTAAAAGACTACCTATAATTTTTCCTTTTTTATTTTGAAAATTTATGCTAGACTCGAGAGTATTTTGTTACAATTTCTACTTATAAAACATAAATAAATTAAATAAGTTTAAAAAAATTGAACATAAAAATTGAAAGTTGAGAAATAAGTGCATTTACCTTTAGTGCCCATTTCACAAAATAGACACATTTCTCTTTCATCTTTATCCTAAATAGCGTCCAAGTGGTAAACTCACATGAATATTATAAAATTTTATGTTCCACAATTATTTTAGTAGTTTACATGGATTTTAATGTGTACTATTTGGGCGTTGTTTTTATATATTTTTGAAGGGTGACACTTTTGCCAAGTAAATTTTAAATTTTCTATTTTTTTTTTCAGGATATGTATTATGCAAATATGTCATGTTCCTAAATACTCCTATCTAGACTTTATGTCCCTAAATAATTTTTTGAAATATGTCATGTTCCTAAAGTAATCTTTCTTTTTTAATCTTTTTCCTTATTCATTCTAAATACTCTACCACTGTTGGTTGGATATGAATCTATAGGAATATGTTAGTTTTGATACTCATTTTCTTTGGAAAAATTCACAATAGTTTAAAGTTTATAATATTTTATTTACCAGTGTGAGCATTTCCAAATTGAGGCATGAGTTATAAAGGTAAATTCATGATTTAATTGTTAAGCTTCGTTGGAGGGTTTATTAATATGATTTGAATTTTCTGGCTAGAGGATCATGTATATTTTTGAATCTCAATTAAAATATTATATTGTCCTTCGTCTCTCTTCTATTTTTATTTTGTATTTTTTAACCTTTATAATTAACATTGTTTCCAACTGGTTTGTTTTCTTGATGGGAACTCAAAGCAACATATTCATCCAAAAATGAATATTAAACACAAGGTAAACTTTAATTGCTTTTTTGATTTTTTTTTTCATACTCATTTTATAAATTTGAATTTAATTATTTGTCGGTTTACAATCTTAAAAAATTCTTATCCATTGTTTAGTCATGATGTGTAGGCATAAAAATAAATAAGGTAAAATTATAACGTTTTTTTTTTAAATATTTGGTTAGTCATGTAGCTTTTATTTTCTATGAAATACATGTCTCATATTCCTTTTTTGGGTTTCCATTGAACAATACTCTCAATGAGTTAGAAGAGTGTAGGAATAGCCTAGACTCTTGCATTGGGAAAAAATACACAGATTGGTAGGTACTTGGATTATTTTTCTCTTACAAGGTTGTCTTCCACTATCAACTAAATTTTGTTTTATATCATGGTTTTAGTATTGAATTTTGCTTTTTCTTTGGTTGTTTTCTTTTTCTTTTTGTATCAAACATGATGTTTTCACTACAATAGGTTTTTAGGTAGCTACAATTTGGAGGTTTGTATGATTTGTTGTCATTCTCAATTTCACTCTCTATGCTATTGTTTTCTTTCTATTCATTTATCTACTTTAATAGTGCAAACACATGTCTATTCACTTGAACATGGAATGACAGGTTTCAATTGACCATAATAGGTGCATTGCTTTAAACAGTGATGTTGGTATTTGCAAGAGAGTTTGAAGTTATTATATTGCGTTGTAGATATCTCAACATTGAATCATGTATCATATCAATTCTGTTTTATGTAGCATGCTATTTTTTGTCTACCAAGTTACTAACCTAACTTTCACAATTTGAATTAATTTCTCACAGGCCAGTGGAAGCAAGAGAAAGATGGTGATAATCATGATCATGTTGCTTAGAGCTTTAGAGCCTTGAATAAATAACCATAAGTGATGATGTACTTGGATGAAGAATATAACTCTGTTTTGTCATCACTTGAATTGTGAAGCTTTGTGAATTTCGAAAATTTAGGAATCATTGTTATTACATTGTTCTGTACTTTATATCATTGTCCAAGTGGAGAGATTGGACAGTTGTCTCATGTATCATTTTAGATGGTCAAGATCAATTTTAAACATTTTGTTGGATCTCATACAGCTAAGATCAAGAAGGCAGCTTTTTAAAAGTATTTTGAATATTTTGGTAAGACTGATTATTTCTTTCTAAGATCAAATGGTGAGAGATTGTTTTTTCACCTTTAAATTCCCTCTCAAATGTGTCATGTTTGTTGATAAATTCCACCTTTAAAGATCTCTCAATTTTTTGTATCTTGCTTCACTTCAAAGCTCACTCCACAAACCTTTATCCATCTCTCCTCTCTTTAACGATCTGCATTTTATCCCATTCATTTTCTCTTGACATGTGGGTATGATCTATGTTTGATCTTGAGGGTTCATTTCTTTGGGATTGTGTAGTTTTTTTTTATTATAGGTATGTGTAGCTCATTTACTGTCTCAGGACTCAATTTATGGGTATGTGATTATTTGTGACTTTTGGTGCATATATGTTGATAGTTTTGTAAAATAATTGATTTCAATGTTTTCTTTGGTGGGTTTTAAAGGTAGAATGAGAGAAAAGCTTAACACTATGACAGATTTTTGACCTAAACAGAAAGAGCGACTTTAATTTTTTTTTGTTCATATTTTTTAATTCATAGTTATTTATTTTTATTTTTTTTAGAGGTCCGTAGTTATTGATTTTTTGTTTGTTTTCTTATTATTATGCTATCTACTTTAACCAAGAGGAGTTTGGCTGATGGAATTGCCTAATTTTAATTTTGGTGTCATTTTGAAAGGAAAAATGAGTAATACTGAATTTTCAAATTACTTTCCAATTAACTTTTTAGTTTTCTTCTAATCTCATTTTCTATTGGCTTTTATTTGTTGAGCAGATTTTTATTTATTTGTGTTTGAGTGATCTAATGAAAATTACTGTTTTTGCTTAGGACCGCTTAATTGAGCATAGTCTATTGATTGCCTTTTTTAGCAATTACAGTATTAATTTTTAATCATAATTGTTTTCGAACTCATAACCCATTTGATATATTTATTTGAAATCATACAAACAATTCATAAGATACGATATGCAAGAATTGATAGAAAGCATGCTTAGATATATATATATTTTTTTCTTTCCTTTTGGAATGTTTTTACGCACAAGTCATTCGCTAATTGTCTTATATGAAAATGAATTAAAATAGCGAATGACCCGTGCCTGATTGGGGATAAAAAGATCTTAGTATCTACGATATGCAAGAATTGATTAGAAAGCATGCTTAGATATTTTTTTTTTCCTTTCCTTTTGGAATGTTTTTAGGCACAAGTCATTCGCTAATTGTCTTATATAAAAATGAATTAAAATAGCGAATGACCCGTGCTTGATTGGGGATAAAAAGATCTTAGTATCTTTGTAGAATTTTCACCAAGATTGCATACGAAAATTGCAGGGTAAGTCATTTTTTTAATATTTTTATTTCTTCGCATCTTGATTGTAACCCATTAAGTATTTTCTATCCGTGACACTTAATTACTGGAATTAATTTAGGAAAAATTACAAATCAGTGGTAAGACCAAAAAAAATTGCAAAATCATGCGAAACTTTATCACTTAAATTATTAAAGTTGATAAGCTTTACTATTGATTTGCAATTTTCCTATTAATTTTTAAATTTTATTATCGATTTTGCTATCAATGGTTTTATTTCGAAAAGCGGAGAGACAAGTTGACTTTTTGCTATTCGTTTTAAATTCTCAAAAGATGTACAAGTGAATTAGAAAAAAACATTTGACTGCTATGTATGGTTGCTACTTTTTGTAAGGTTGTAAGAACAAAAAAAATTGCAAAATCATGGGAAACTTTATCACTTAAATTATTAAAGTTGATAAGTCTTACTATTGATTTGCAATTTTCCTATTAATTTTTAGATTTTATTATTGATTTTGCTATCAATGGTTTTATTTCGAAAAGTGGAGAGACAAGTTGACTTTTTGCTATTCATTTTAAATTCTCAAAAGATGTACAAGTGAATTAGAAAAAAACATTTGACTGCTATGCATGGTTGCTACTTTTTGTAAGGTTATTATTTTTCGTACAAGTGATTTAATATTTTTCATGGATGTACAAGTGATTTAGTATTTTCATGGATGTACAAGTAATTTAGTATTGCTCAAAAAATGTACAAGGGATTTAGTATTAATAAAAAAATATTGCTAATTGCTCAATGACCCAATGTCTAGCTTTATATTGAACTGCCTAGGTATATTAGCTGTTTCTCAACTTAATTAGTTATATCTAAAAGTTTTCATAACATTTGTAGGTTTTTGGTTTATGTCAGGTTGTGTTGGGAGTACATTTTTCTCATGTTACATTGTTTGTAGGCAAGTTAAATTTTTATTATTTTTCCTAGATTTTTCTCACGTAGTTTCAGGTTTATAATTTGTAAAGAACTATTACAATGTGATTTGCAGCAGTAGCACCAGCAGGTGTACATTGTTTGGTATCAGCGGGTGTACATTGCTTGGTATTTAAATTAATTTTTTTAGATTGCAGAGCACTGGTTGGTGTGCATTTCAATTTTAATTTTCTTAGATTGCAGAGCAATAGCTGGTGTGCGTTTGTTGGTATTTAATTTTAATTTGTTTTTTTTTTGAATTGCAAAATACTGGGTGGTGTGCATTGTTTGGTGTAATTTTTTTTTTGAATTATAGAGTGTTAACAAATGTATAATACCTTGGTTTGTATGTTTTAGTTTTGTCTTTACAATTTTTTATTAACTTGCATAGCAAGGGTGCTTTTATTTTTAATGTTAGCATTGATATGAAGTTTATACTTTAGAGTCATAAAGTTTTTTTTTAATAAAAATGAAATGTTTATGATTGCGTTATTTGCCATACTTTAAATAGTTGATTGGGAAATATTTATTTTCAAAATATACAACCAAAAATATTTTCAAGTTTTTTTAATAAAAAATCTTTTCAAAACTAACCAGACCTTCATTCATATTTTAACTTCAAATTTTTAGCAACAAATGGGATAAATTACCTTTTAACCCAATAATTTTATATTTAATTACATTTTGATCTCATCATTATTTGCACCGTGCCTTTAGGCACGGGAATATACTAGTATACTTATATTTCACTTAATTTTACACACATTTTCTCTTTCCTTTTTCAAATTTCTCCTTAAATCTCTCAACCAAACACAATGTTAAGATTCTTATCCATATCTCGAATATATAGTCTTTCTTGTTTAATTTTTCTTTTTATTTTGACTTTATATATCTGTCACATTATTATCTATTAGGTCAAATCACATTGATTAGCATATGTCATTAACAAATCATTGAACACATAAACCTGAAAAAAGTTAAATACTTTTAAGACTAAAATGTTACATCCCTATTTTAATACAGATTGACTAATCCCTACACAAATTAAAGATCTAATCACAAAAACAACCTATCAAAAAAAAATCCCCCCCCAAAAAAAAACAATTCTGTTTTGTAACTTGAATTTTTTTTGACCCGAGTGGCTCAATTGCCCAAAACGACATCATTTTTGGCAAATTTATTTATTTATTTATTATTATTATTATTATTATTATTTTTTTATTTTTTATTTTTTTTATTTGCAAATGAAGAAGAAGAAGGAGAAGGAGAGGAGAAGAGAAGAGGGAGCTGTGTGTGAGAGAGAGAGAGAGAGAGAGAGAGAGCATATCATCATCATCATCATCAACAACATATCATCATCAACGACAACAACAACAAACAACATCACATCATCATCAACACATTTTGGCATTAACAACATATCATCATCAACAACAAACAACACCACATCCTTTGCTTTTTTTTTTCTTTTTAGATAACGAGAGAGAGAGAGAGAGATAGATAGATAGATAGATAGATCTATACACATACACAGAGAAAGAGAGATAAACAGAACTGTGTATACACACACAGATCTATTTGTGTATACACAGATCTGTTGATGATGGCACCGGTGATGGCGCGGTGATGGTGGTGATGCCTCTCTCTCTCATCTTTGTTCCCTTTTTCTCTCTCTTCTCTCTTTTTTTCTTTCTCTTGTCCTCTCTTCTTTTTCTTTCTCTCTCTATTTCAGAATATCAGAGAAAAAAAAAACTACCCAAAACGACGTCGTTTTGGGCAGTCGAGCCACTAGAGCCAAAGAAATTTCGAGTACGAAGGATTATTAAAAAAAAAAAATACAAGAAAGTAATTAAAATCTTAAGAATCTTCTTCTCACTTCACTGACGGCGTTCAGGAGTCCAATGAGGCAAGGACAAGCTAAAATGTGCTGATACACTCTCGAATCCAAAAGCTCCATGATGGGTGTAAAGCTAACACACCTCGGCACCTTACACTGATTAATGAACACTCCTCTCGATATCGCATAATCCATTAGCTTCTTAAAGGTCCCACTCTTCACTACCCTGATCTCCAAAGCTCCAATTGAGTTGTCTGTGACTCGGCCTTAACGGTATACCGAGTTAAGCGATTCCTCCATTGCCAAACAACACTGAGCCAACACGTCCTCACTCGGCGAGTTACCCGAATCCTTCGCTAACAGCTCCCAGTAAATCACATAGTGACTCGGAATCGTCTTCGTATTGGCGTAACTCGTGTACTCCACAACATTCGTGTTGAACTCTTTCAAGAGTTGCAAAGCGTTCTCGACCGCTTTCTGTAACTCGGACTCGTCGGTCTTGTCCGAGTTGATGTTGAATAACACGTTTTTTCTCCATACAAAGGGTTAGCTTTTTGGCTTTTTTGGCATGGGGTTAAAAAGCCTGGTTTGGGAAGGACTTTTGATTTTTTTGACTTTTTTGATTTTTTTGACTTTTTTGTGAGAGAAAGAATGTAATGATGGGTTGGGTGTGATGTTTTGTCTTATTGGGCTAAAAAGCCTATTTGTTTTTTGTGGCTAAAATAGCCAAAAAAGCCTGGCTTTTGGCTTCCCAAATGAAGCCAAAGTGGAATTGCGAAGCTGAGTTGTGGAACCCAATTACTCGAAGGATGTCGTCGACTCGGTATCGGCAGAGTCCGGCGTAGGTGGTGATCACAAGTTTGTATTCTTTTCCCACTT